ACTGGGGGACCACATCGGCCTCAACGAAACAGAAAGCAACAATGCAAAGAACATGAATGTAACCACAAAGCATGGCCACATCGTCCACACATCACAATGGCGCCTCGTCGGCCAGAGGCACATGACATCATCAACAACGGCCAAAAGGAGTGCACGAGCACCCTCATCGGCCACCCAAAGGAAAGGACGCCATCGTCCTCGAAGCAAGGATCAACTTCAGTGGCCTCATCGGCCCAAACACAAACTTCAACCATCAACGCCCAAGCAAAACGTGCCTTTCAACGGCCGCCATTGAAACAAGACACTCATCATCCTCAAAAGAACACATTAAGGAAACAACGGCCTCCCCGCCCACAGCGAGGGACAGGTAACGGCCAAAGCACAGGACAGGATCACCAAAGAGGAAACAACGCCAGCGCCGCAACGGCTGAACACCCGGGGATGCCCGCATCGGCCAAAAGCACTAAAGCACAGGAATCTACTTTCCTTCACTTCGTCTACGTCTCAGCTTAGAGAGTGGGGGACTCCTGATGGAGTATATGGGTCTGAGCCCCCGGACCCACATACTCGGAAGAACAGAAAGCACAAGACAACAGAGTGGCGCCCTCATCGGCCAAGACGCCCCCGTCGGCCGAAAAGGGGCCAACTCAGATTATGGTCCTGAGCCCGAAGAACCCGGGTGCCCTCGTCGGCCGTGCCCTCGTCGGCCACGCCCTCGTCGGCCACGAAGACCTCCCAGAATCGGATTTTATACTTATTCATTTGTACAGCCCATTAGTGGCTTTGTATTCGGCCCAGTAGCGGTCCAGTTGTAAATGGGCCTCCCAAGACTTGGGAGCCCAACCCTAATTTTCTCTATAAATACTCCCCTTGGGAGTAGTTATAGGGGTTACAAAATCATTCTATTGAAGCATATATTGCACTTCTCTCTCTAGCTCTCACTTCTCTCTAGATATACTCTATCAGCGTAAGTATGCAAATTCATTGTAGCAACACTGCATCATCCTTGTATTTAAACTTTGTAAAACTAGTAAAACTTACTTTTCCAATATATTAAGGAAAACAGAGACATTTAATTTTTTATTTTTGGAAATGATTTGGTAAACGCATTTTCATGATTTCATTTCTCCAATTTTCCAGCAAACTTTTTCGGTAAACACGTTATCTATTTTCTTTTTTCAGTTTTTCAAATTTATGAAAAACTAGAAAATGACTTTGTTAGTAAACATGTCTTAAAATTTTTATATCCAAATTTTATAAATCTTGCCATTAAAGAAGGATAGAGCTAAGGAAAATGAATTGAAGAAAAATAAGATGATTAATAAAATGATAAAATCCAAAGGAAATATTCCATAGAAAAGGATTAGATACGTGGGATGAAAATTAAAACGAATAGAAATAGTGGGATGATAATAAAAACGAATAATTATAGTGGAATGAAAATGAGGATTAAATTGCAAATACTTGCCGTTTGTTGATTAATACTTTCGTACTACATATGACGTTGCACCATTAAATGATGTGGCATGCTTTTATTAGTCCAGCTCATATATGTACCAAAACCTCTAAGAACATCTCCAATGCTATAGTGTGCACGGTGCACATGTGTCATGAAAGATAACCACATAAATATTAGCAAATAAATTATCTATCTCCTTATTTGAATGATTTTATACAATTTTGGTAAGTTTTCCCCTGCAATGTCAACTGCAGTGTCAATATCTAGACGGTCTCCATGACATTATGGAGAAAATCTTACCAAATCTGCATAAAAGCATTCAAATAAGAAGATAACGAATTTATTTACTAATATTTATGTGGCTATCGCTCATGCCACATGTGCACCGTGCACGTTGTACTATCGGAGATGCTCTAATAACGTGCATGTACCATTGAGCTCCCCTTCAACTTTTTACCATGTAATCAACCGGTCATCAGGTAAATGGAGACACGTGGCGACACGTGGCTTTTCCTCTTTTTTCTTTTTCTTTTTCCTTTCTTTTTCTTTCTTCTTAGTTCCTCTCCCTCCCCTTTCCCTCCGTCTTCGCCCAGTGGCCAGTGCTCCCTCCCCGTTAATTTCCTTTGGTTTCATTTTTGGGTCTCTCCCTCTTTAGCTGACAAACCCCAAGCCCCCTGTTTCTCTACCAATTCAATTTCGTTTTTTGGATCAAACCCATGGATATACAACAAAAATAAGAGAAATAAATTAAAACAACAAATTCACTGAATTCGATGAAGAAGACCAGCTTTTCATGAGATTGAAAGTTGGGAAGAAAGGTTGACAAAGTTCCTAGGGGGATGAACCAGGAGGTAGCGGCGGGGCAACCAGGCAGCGGAATCCAGTTGGCGGCATTGATGCAATGACTGGAGAACATGAACGGAGCTCCAACAAAAATTATGTCTTTGCCGGCAGTTGGTCGGAGAAGATGACCGGAAAGAAAGGAGAGAAGTGCAGACTAAGAGCATCTCCAATGCTAAAACGTTAACGGTGAATACGTGACATTAGAAATAAACAATTAAAAAACAATAAATAAAATATCTATCCCCTTATTTGAATGATGTTACATCATTTTGGTAAATTTTTCTTCACAATATCAAGCACAATGTCTAGATGTAGATATTGTGATTGACATTACAGACAAATACTTACCAAAAACACATAAGACCGTGGAAAGAATGAGAGATAAATATCATAAAATCAATATTTTGTGTTTATCTCTTTCATGCCACATGTGCATTGTGGACATTGTAGCATTGGAGATACTCTAAAGGAAAAGAGAAAAAAGGATATAAAGAAAGGATAAAAGAAAAAAGGAAGGAAAGAAAGGAGAGAAGTGCAGGCCAAAAAAGGTAGGAAAGAAAGGAAAGAAAGGGAGAGTGGGTTTCTCAGAGAAGAAAACGGAATGGGGAAGATAGAGGGAAAGAAGGAAAAGTGAAAAAAAAAAACCCTGCCATCAAAGTTATCTGGAAACCAGAACTATACCGGCTTAAAAGCCAATTTGAATCTTTTACATGTGTTTATGGGTTTAATTGAGTGTTTTTTGAGTTCGGGGGCTAAATTGATTTTTTCAGTATAGTACGGGGGCTTATTTGATACTTTTCCAATGAGAGAATGTAGTGTCAATTACTCCCTTCCTCCCATAAAGAAATTCTCGCATTGACTTGAATCAGAATTTAAGAAAGTGAGAATAAAGTAGAAATATATGATTGTGACTGAATAAGAAAAAAGTAAATGAATGTGAGCCACACACACAAAACTTTCCAAAAAGGGAAATGAGAGCTAGTGTTTGGAACAGCCCAAAAAAGAAAACGGGAACTATTTTGCGGGACGGAGGGGGTACCTATTATTATGGGTGTATACTAATAGGATTTAGTGACAAATATTTAAAAGTTTATGTATTATAAAAGTTGGTGTCTATTCGATTTAGATTTTTAAAAGTTCAAGGAATGTATGAATCTACTTCTTAAAATTGTTTATGCTCTTTCAGAGAATAGAAATAGATATTAGAATGTTTGGGTAAAATTGTAAAAATACTTCTAAATGTTCTAAAATGCTCCTAGAAGCGGTTTTTTAGAAGATGAGGGAGACTGACTTTTGAAAACTGATTCTGATTTTACTTTTGCTTTTAAAAAACAAGCATAAACAGAATCAATTTCAAACACCTCCTAAAATGTCTAGGTGTATTCAATGTAGATTCTAAAAGTCTAGGTTTATTCAAACTTCTATTCATGCTTACAGACTTTAAAATTTTTGACTTCGTGGACTTTTAACTCACTCTTATCACATTAATTCTCTTCAATTGTCTCTTCTCCTAACTAAAGATTCTCTTGATTTTTTTCCATCTTCTAATCGTCACAAGTACACATAGATCCAATTCCAAAATAAGATCAGAATGGGTAATTAATTACTTGAGACCACGAACTGGTCAACTAGTCCTGGACTAGTACCGATCCAGTTCCACAATAAGATCAAAATTGGCTAATCCTAATCCATTCCAAATTTAAAAAATGTCTTCATGTTTGAGGTACAAATTTCGTATAAAAAGTTTTCAAAAATATTCTTCGTATTGGCCCAATCTGACTTAATGTCCTGGCTCCGCCCTTGGTGCTAGCACAGTAGCACACAATGAAGCTAAGGTTGAACATTAAACTTAGTTCACATGGCTGGGTTGTTCTTGGAGTTGCTTGGTTGAAAGCCTGTGTGCCAAATGCTTTCCATTCACTCTCAACATGAGAAACCCATGGTTCTATGTGTTTCCTGCTATTATCAACATGCTTAGGAGGGATTCAACGATATCCACATACAACCAAGCATTTCAATGACCTCGGTGGCGGAGCTAGAAATATTTTCTAAGAGGTATCAGAGCTTAAACAATATTATGCTACACGGCCCAAAACTTAATATTTAAACATATTTTATAGTTTATGCAACACCTATTCCAGTTCCACAAAGTAGGACCACAAGCGACCGGTCCAGTTTATTTATTTTTTTAATTTGCAAAAAAAAAAAACAGAACCGGTTTGGGATGAGAACTGGTTTTCCCTGCTAAGGTTCCCCGGCTAGTCCTTACCCCTACCCAGAACCGGCCCAGGTCCACCACTAACCACTCCGTATTGTCTAACTCAATTGATCAAGTATTAAGGTATGAACCAGAAATGAGGCGATCTTGCGAATTTGTTGTTAGCCTGCCAAACTTTGGCAACCAAAGTTTATACTACGTTCCGTCCCAAAACAAATTCAGTGTTTGACTTCACATAAATTAAGGAAACAAATTTGACTTTACCGTAGACAACACTGTTGTGACACTGTTTGGCACTGTTTGACACTGTTTTGCACTGTTTTGATGTAGATAATTTGCCAAATAAGGAAGGGAGAAGAAATGTGAAGTTTATTTTGGACCTACCCAAAAAGGAAAGTGTGAATTTGATTCGGGACCGGAGGGAGTATCAACATAGAGATGTCTGAATCAAATATCAGCCTTCTCTTAAGTTGTACTAATTGATAGCATGGTCACATTCATCAATTTAATTAAAGAAGGATACAATAGTTACTGAATAATAATGTTACTGGTTCAATACATTTGTATGTTCCCGATAAAAATATACAACGACCAACTTCAGGTGCTTAGACACTCCAACTTATGGTGCCTGTTTCAGTCCAGGGAAATGCAATAGCAATGTTAGCATCGTTTAGTAAGGCTTATATTGGACTGAAATGACAGAATACTCCACGAACAAGCGTTTGGTAACATTCATTTCAACCAAACACGTCCAAAGTTACTTATACTAATAGGCAGAGTAAGTCGCTCTTATTAGTACCAAATGGAGCCTCAGCATTGTTTAGGAGTGGGATTACTGTTTGGAAACCTCTGCCTTGGCAGCCGCCTTGTTCGTTTCCCCCATCCGGTTAGACTTGTCTTCTCTAATATAGTTTCACTACATATGGGCTGGCTGATTGTCGGCGGTTGGCAGATAGCGGTTTTTGTCAGGGGCCTGCATTGCCGCCTCCCTTTACCATTCTTGGCAGCTTTTCTTAGAGACATTCTTGACTGCCAAATGGAACCAGTACTTTTCAGTAGCTCTTCAAGCGTCAGAATATCTTCGCTAACCTCATGCCTAGCGAGGGAAACCAAACCAGGAAGAACATCCCTCTGGAAATCTCTTTTCTGCCTTCCTCTCCTCGCCTGCCCTCTTCGGGGGCGTTTGAGTCTAGAAACTTCTATTTCGTCTTCATCCTCATAATGGCTTTCCAAAATGGATGGCTCATAGCAATTCCCTTCTTCCTTCATGTCTCTCAAATTGAGTGTCATAAACTCAAAATAATCCATACCATCTAGGATAGAAGATTCTTCATTTGGTTCACCTTTTATGATAAATTTTTCATCACAATCATTATTATCTTGAGAACATATCAAATCTGCAAACCATTTAAGGCAATCTACTGATGATGAGATAGAAACTATGGCCTCCGCAGCATGTCTAGTAACTTCTTCAAAACATGCGCTTCCTTCAGATTCAATAAATATGGGGCCCACTTCTTGTTCTTCTTCTTCTAGGGAGAGGTTAAGATCAATCTGGTTTTTCAAACCTGAACCCATATCTTCAGGATGATTTGTGCTTGCTGATTCAACTGCATTGACTTTGCTGGAATTATCTACAGATTCTGCAGAAGGATTGAAAATCGGAACCCCAAAAATCTTCTTAACTTCAGGTTTCTTAAAGAATTGTTGAGAGCAATTCTGCAATAAATCAAGATTCATGTGATAGCTGCTCTTCTCCCCCATGCTGTTATTCTTCTGAAGGTTATGGTGTGGCTTTGCTATGAACCAAGGCAATGATGAAGACGTTTCCTTTGAGCTTGAAGCTGAACAAATGTTGCCGTTCATGTGTGCTTTGGCTCCATTAAGTTCTGAGCGATGCTTTAGTGGATTAATAATATCCCCACTGGAAGCCGAGAAAAAAGGCTCTCTTTTGCCTTCAGATATAACAACACCAAAAAGGGTTCTCTTCGTCTGGACTTTTTCCTTGGTATCACTAGGCAATTCATCACATGGAGCTTCTGCGTCACAAGAATAGCCATTTAAAGGATGCTATCACCATAACAAAAGAAGTAATCAATAGTTTTTATAAAAAGGAGGAAATTGACCAATTTAGTTCCTGAGTTATTGGTGTGTCACTTTTTTAGTCTTTGAAATATCTTTGAAGTTGTGAATTTTGTCTCACAAAAAAATTGCAAGTTGTACTTTCACTTTTCATTTTCTTACTCGGTATATAGAGAAATGGCAAGTCAGTTCTCTGACGTAGGAACTTCACAATATAGTCAAAATGATTATCACAAGAATACATGTAAAACTGAACTGAAAAATATGGCATGCAACTTATTTTAGAGTCCAGAGACACCACTTTAACAAATATTGATGGACTGAACGTGAGCACACTAATAAATGTGGGACTTAATATACTATATCCTTATATTTGTGGTCCTAAAAATGGCATTTCCTTTATAAATAAGAGGCTTTCCTAAAATAGCTGAAATAACGCTTGCAACAACAAAAAACTACGCGGTCACGACAATAACTGCATCGTAAAATTGAACATTACCAGGGATGCTACAATCACTCCAGAAACTTTGTTGTAGTCATGTGTTGTAAAGGTCATATTTTTGCCCAAGTATTTTTCTCTTGTTTTTCCATCATTCGGTAACAGTCTCTCTGCTTTAGTACAGGGGTAAGACTGCGTACATCCGACCCCCCTTACCCCACTGTAGGTGGGAGCCTTTGAGGCATTGGGGTAATGATGATGATGATGATTTTTCTCTTGTCATATATTGGTCATTATTTTTTTAAAATATACTCCCTAGATCATCACAGCCATTGAAACACACGGAAGAAAGAAATATTGGAACCAAAGATCATGAAAACGTGTCAAACTCTAACCCTTCATGTTACCATGGCACACAAAATACTCTAAATGATATATACAGATGAAATTACAATTACATCCTTACCAGTATTTATGTCAAAAGACAACCTCTCCCGCCTATCCCCTCTGCAGTGGGCTGGCTGTATATGCTTGAGGCAAGCTCCCCCATTTCTTTCCACTTTTTTAATTTCATTGGAGGCTAAGATGAGAGGGTCATCCTCAATCACTATTGGTTCATTCAAGTCAGCAAGAAAACCATTTCTCCTTAAAGAAGCATCATGTATAATGGGATTAACACCGTGTGAGTCTTCTTCGCTGCCTTGGACAGAAAAGAGGTCAGCCCTGTTCACAGGTTTTCGACATCCAAAAAGAGACTGAGTGTAATGAGTGGCTGAAGAGGACACTTGGCCATCAGCTAGAGGAAAAGTATTAACATGCCACGTCCTTTTAACTTCATCTGGAGGAGTGTGGGACAAACATCGACTTGTTGAATGCAATGTCTCTACCTCCAATGGATTCTTTTGCAGTTCTCTCATTCTCAAATCATTCATAAGGTCCCTTTGTTTGCTGTAGAGACGGTGAAGTTCTTGAAGCTGAATGGTCAAAACAAAATTGGAATCAATAAGGAAAATTACAGGACAGGTTGAGTAATTAGGGAACGTTTGGTACAGATATGAGATCGCCTTAGGTAATAAATTGGATTTTGCATGTCAAGGAATGTAAGACTACAATAATATGACATTTCCTTAAGGGGGCATTTGATTCACGTTCATGTAAGATTAGCTACGGTTATGTGAAATTACAGAAATGAAAGATTGTATGATGAGTTTAGTTAAGGTTATAAGTAATACAATAGTACGTAGTATTAATTTGTTTCAAAATAACTGCAACAATAGTTTATATAAGGACATAAATTGAGATATTACCAAGGCAACCTTATTTTCCTGTGTAATTTGAGATTATCCTTGTAATCTAAAAATCCGAACCCAAGAAAATAGTCTCACATTGCATAACCTTCTTCTGAGTATCTTAAAACTCAGACGAAACAACATAAGGTCACATTACCTTCCTAACATTATCAAGGTGATTACATACCAAGATAATCACAAATCACCCAACCAAACACCCCCTAACAGTTTAACCTCATTCAAAGATCCTAGAGACAAAACCTGAAGCATCCTAAGAAAGCAGCACCATAGCTATCACTTCAAAAAGTCTTATAAGAACAACAGGTTTGAGATGATAAAGAAATACCTGATGTCTAAAAGTTGATTCGTGCTTCAAGATTGTTTGCCTCACCATCTCCTTTTCATATGATTCAAAATATCCATCTGTTGGCAACTGCAGAGAAAATAAATCAAAATGCTTCTGACCAAACTTCATCATTTGTTCATCCTTGTTATTAAATAAGCACATCCCATTGTTCATGCTTCCATCTATGTCCTTCACAGAGTAGAATGAGGGCAAAACTGTCTTGCATTGTATCTTAGTCCCCATTGCAGTAATCTAGTGCAGCAAGAGTTCAAATTAGATTATTATCCAACAGTAGAAATTTTAAAGAAATACAAAAAGCAACGATGACATAAACAAATTACTCTGGCACACTAAAAGAATTTGCAAAAAAATCAATTTTGACAAGACAAAAATGATTATAAAAAACCCTAACTTGTTTGGTAAAAAAATATCTGTCCTTATGTTAGCAATTATTCTAGTTCAGTTGTTCTTCTGGAAAACTATGGAATGTAACCCATAAAGAAATGAAAATTATATTTCTTAAAAAGTAAAGCATAATAGGTAGCTGAGACCAAGAACTGAAAATCTGAAATAACTATACTAATGGCAGTCTTTTACTCCGTATGTGCTAACATATTAAATAAGCCATAAAGGAAGCCACCGAAATCATTCTTAGAAAACACATTAGGCTTACAAAAAGAAGATCTCACGTAAATCATATAATGAATCCTTATATTTTCTGTTCCTCGTATCTTATAAGCAATTAAGAAAACCCCATATCAAAATGAAACAAGAAAAAAGTTCACCATTGAGCACTGTTACCTTAAAAAGCCCAAACCTTCACCCAATCTTCTAAAAAATGACAGGAATCAGAGCAAAGAAGGTAGATCCCTCTCTTTGGCTAAAAGCCAACAGTAAAGGAAGGAGCACACCCACAACCAAAAAAGCTGCAATTGCACTGCAAAAGACATTTCAAGAACGCAACCTTACAAAGACGATCAATCGAAACAAGTCTGATGATCAGTCTGAGCCTGGATAAGATAGAGAATTCAAGATCTCTTCTTTATCTCTCTCTCTAAACCCGGGCAGGGAAGCTGGAAATTGTGTAACATTTGGTCTTCTTGTTATCCTGTACAGTGGAAGTACCTTTTTCTTGCATTCACCAGATGGGCCAGGGATTCACTCTTTCTCTTCCCGGATTGGCCAACTGATTCTTGTTATATCACAACAACGTATCTACCGAATAAAATAAAGCGGAAAAAAAATAAGGATTTTTATGTGCTTTTGAGGAAGTGAGGGGCATGGGTGTGTGTGTGTTGCACATTGTCTAGATTCTCTCTCTCTCTGCCCACATCTTTCTGTGCTTTTTCCTTGAACGGAGCTTTTTTGTTTTTCATTCATTATTATTTTTATTATTTGGTATGTATTACGTAGTATTATACTTTCTTCATTCCTATTATAACTTCCAACTTTCCTTTTTGTCCGTTCTAATTAAAACTTCCATTTTCCCTTTTTGGTAAAGAATTTGTGATTCACAACTTTTTTTACACATTTCTCTCTCCTTTTCACAACTCTCCACCACACAATACGCACTATCTTATTAAATCATGTATCAAACCTATTTGGATGTTATAATAAGAAAGGATGTAGAACTTGGTTCATAAAAATGTTTGTTGTAATCTTGCCAATGAAGTTGTACACTTTTATTTACACATTTACAAATTCTTTACAATGATGTTTTCTTATCTTAGTCTCTACATAAAAAATGCCTGTCGAAAGAGAAATTATTTTACATAAAAAATGTTTCGCACGAACATGAACATAAAAATTCAAGGGAAATTCTTGAAATTAGAGTAAAAAATTTTAAAATTTTAAAATATGATTGTCATGTTTTTACTCTCAAAGTAGAAGTAATTACTGTCAAATTTGGAAAATACTGACGTGTTTAAGAAATGGTACTGCCAAAACATAATAATAATTAGTCCTATTTCGTGAAAAAAAAACATTGGAAAATACAAATGTTTTTAGTCTTGTTTGGGATAATTTCCCAAAAATGTATAGTCACTAAAAAATATAGGTATAATACATTGGTTTACGAAAAAATAATTATAACAAATACGTTAAGTGAACAAATCTATTATATATTTCTGTATATTATTTTTTCACTACATAATTAATTTTTCGAGTTTATTGTACAAAAACATACATGACCTGAAAACATTTAACAATATGTGAGACTGGGTGATCTATTAGAGGACTTTTTTACTTCAATAAATCATGAAATTCATGGTGTAAACTCTATAAAATCTTACTGAGTATATACTCGGTACCTTGTACGCTTTTATTAAAAATCACCAACCATAAATTCTATAGATAAATTTTTCGCCAAACACCGAAATACGTAATTTTGATTTCGCACGTTGAATTGTGTAGTATTCCGTAATAAAAAAAAGATTGATGTTACTTTTGTAGCTGCATTATTTGAAGTTACTGAAAAAGATCATTTTCGTTGTTTTTCATAAAATTTTTATTTTTTATTTATTTTATTAATAAAATATATTTTTAATACAATATTTTCATAAATCAACAGAACCAACAAATCGAATCACTTTAGTTAAAACTTCATAAATTTGAGTGGAATAAACCAATATAAAAAGTCCATCAAACTCAATGGAAATGCATATTTGATTACACGATCGCAACATTAATGTCTTCTTTCATTTGGTTCAGATACTAAATTAAAGTGTACTGCCCATTTAGTAAAAAACACCGGTATCATTCATTATAATTAATCGAGATAATTGAATTATTGCATAATAGAGAAGGTAAAACTTAATTTTCTTTGTGGTATAAATGACCAAAATGGCATTTCAATCTAATTTTATACGTAGTAATACTTTTTGCAGCATTACATGCTTGTAATTTATCGTGCTACGATTATTTAATCCAATGAATCAACTACTTCATACGGATTACTCGCTCCGTTCCTCTTATATCTTTCAACTTTCTTTTTTCATCCGTTTCAATTAAACTTTCATTTTCCCTTTTTGATAAAGAATTTTTGATTCACAATATTTCTTACACATTTCTCTCTCCTCTTCACAATTCTTCACCATAAAATATTCACTTTTCTTAAATTGTGTGTCACAGTGAAATTGAAGATATAATAGAAACGGGGGAGTATAATTTTAGCAATATTTGTCATACTCACGCCATTTTCTCTACGAGCAATTATTGTATAAAAATTAAATTACGCTGAGTTAATTACTCCAGCAAATCAGTTTCAACCACATCTATGGCTGTCATAATCACCAATTTAATGTTATTCATGGGTGATCGGAAAAGATGCGTATACATTCCTAGTTTTAACATCTGCATGGATATTACTAAGGGTCCGTTTGGTTGTGGGTAATTTCACATGAAAGTCGAAATGTGATGCACGAAATGTTAGATACCCTTGTTTGGTTCACGGGTTTGAAGAAAAATCGGGGAAGTTACATTCACGGGAATGTTATATGGAGAGATGAATGTTAAACCCATCCATGCCTTAGGTTATCTCACATTCTCGGGGTGATCTAATTTTCTTCCGAAAATACCTTCAAATAATTCTCTTTTCATTTAATTTCTTTATATATTCAACTGTTATCAAATTTAATTTTTTGTGACTTTATAAAACTTTTAATGTAGTGTCTAAATATGTAAATTTTATTTACTAAAAATAATCTTATTATTGACAGAGATCAGTTAGTTTCATAATCTTATTCCTTCGATGTTAACCAAACACAAATGGGAATCAATTGAATACATTCTCATCAATGTAACATACCCATCAATCTGACATTCTCATGGTTATAGGACATTCCTTGAACCACCCTAAGTGTACCAGCGTTTTGAATTTTTTTGTCCAAGGCGTTGTTTTTAGTAAGGATGTTTTTACTTGAACTGAAATTTGCTGGTCTGGTCTGGTTTGTTTAAATCTGGTCAATTTGGTCCGAACTGGTCTGGTAAATGTCTGATCTCTGTGTATTTTATAATTATGAAAGTCTAGTCTGGTCTGAACTGGTCTGGTCTAGTCTGTTTAAGTTTGACCTGGTCTGGTCTGAAACTGAAAACAAGTCTAAGTAAAAACATCATAAGTTTTATGTAATTAGAAGCTTTGTATAAGGATGAAAGTGTAAGGGAACTAGGGAAGTGTATTTGGAGTTATGTTTGTATATAATAAACCAAATGTATAAGACAAAATAGATCAAATCAACTCAAAATACACCAAACAAAATTTAAATAAACCACATTAGATCAAATCACATCAAATTAGATTTAAAAAACTCAAACTAAACTTAAATAGTAGAAAAATATACAAACGTACATATCTATTAGATTAGACCAGATTTACTCGGACCCTATCATACTTAAACAGACCATACTAGACCAAAAAATTCAAGGGTTAATTGTTAAAATAAGACTAAAAGCTGGTAACTTTGCACAAATAAGAAAAAAAGTAAATTATGCTTTGATAGGACTAATTATGTGTGTGTTGGACAAATATATCGTTGCTGCTATTGAAATGTTTTAGATTCATACTGATGGATAGTCTACCCGGGGGTATATATCCGAAGGGTTATTGCTGGGAATAACTTAGAGAGAAGTCAGAGCAATCAAATGTAGAGAGAGAGTGTATTATAAATGTGGAGCGTTTTCAGCGTGGTTACAAATGGGGAAATGGGGTGCTATTTATAGTAGCAATAAATGCCGGACAGGGACACGTGTCAAGCGCTCATTGGCCGAGGGGTCACCTCAACTGGTTGGCGCTGGCAGCCGCATGTGGCCGCATTTAATGCGGCTGTTGGATGGGACGTCTGTGCAGGGTACGGTGATCTGTACGCATGTGAGGCGGATATCTTGTCGAGTGAGATGCCTTCGGCTATAGAGCAGTAGCCGAGGGCTCCTCCAACCGATGGCACCCTGGTGCCGAGGGCTCACAGTGCCGAGGGCTACTGTTTTCGCCGTTTTCTCCCAGTTTCTTAATTTGCTTGAGAAACCCGTTCTGTGAGAGTTTAGAGCCTTCGGCCAGGGGGCCGAAGGCACCCCTGGCGCGTAGTGCGGGCTGCTTGGTACTCTGGGCGCTGTGATCTGGGCCTGTTGGGCCTTCGCTGGAGTAGTAGGAGTCTGTGGGCCGGGGGTTCCCGGGCCATATACTCCATCACATACGGAGTAATAAAATAATAAAAAATAAAAAAATCGTAAAAACTACTAAAAAATTAATAAAAACATTTACATAATAATTAATTTTGTTTTTAAAAAAATTATTTTTTTAAAAAATAAAAAACGCAAAAAAAAAAAATCATCGCCGCCTCTACCGCCCCAGCACCACCACACCCGTTCACCAGGGGAAAGTGCCACATCCATTACGAATGTCATATCTATGGCAGATTCAATGAAAATTTTAGCATTCTCAAAGAGTAATTTGCATTTTTTTGGCTTTTTCAGAAAAAAATGACAATTTTTAGAAAAAGTGTCATTTTTTACACCGATCGAAGGTGGTGGTGCAGGGTGGCAGTACAGGCTGTGGGAAGGCATCCATATTTTTTTTAATTTTTTATGATTTTTTACTATTTTTTATTAATTAATTTTTTTATTTTATAAATAATTTATTAATTTTTTATTATTTTTCTATGATTTTTATTATTTGTTACGAATCTATATGATTTAAAATAATTAATTATGACTTTTGACTACCTTTTACTCATATTTAAAAGAGGGGTAAGAATGGAATGAAAAAATCGGTATGTTTCCAATAGGACTAATATGGTCCTATTTTGGAATAAAAACATAACAAGTCCTATTTTGGGTTTGTTGTCATAGTTTTAGTCCTATCTGAAGTAATTTCTGACAATTAAAATCCAATTAAAACATTCTAATTACACATCAAACATTTATGGAGTTTGGTTTGCCATACCAATATGCATAAAGCGTGATAGTTTAGTAATTGGATTGTTTAAAGATCGTGTAAGTTCACTTGTAGAATTGATATTTCTCCCATATGCGTAAGTTACAAGGAATTCAATCAAGTATTGTTGGGATATTTTAGTGGTGTACAATCATGTTTTTATTTACTGTATTTGTGTTGTAATGATTTAATTAAAAGGCTGGCCCAACTTCATGTTAAGGGCCCATTTACTACTGTGTTATACGTAAGTTAGCGCCCTTACCTATAAAAGGAAAGCTAACTTACGTAAACTTTAAGCATCTATGAAAATAGACTAGACATTCACGCTCGAGAGAGATAGACGGCAGCACTGTGTATTTCGATACCGTGCTTTGTATTTCAGATCATTTTCTCGTATTGAGTATACAGTTCATTTTTTGTTGGATTGAAATGGACAAAC